CCCCAAAACCCCAAAACCCCTGGATTACTAAAATTTAGATTTTTAAAGTAGAGATTAATAAAAATAAGATCAAGATCATCTATTTAAATTTTAAAGCATTGATACTAAATTAAATGAGTCAATCAAACCCAACTGGTGATATAATCAGTAGAGAGACTATAATTCTCTCAAAAGTGGATGACTAGAAAGAAGACATTCCTGAGAAAGGAAACCTTGTTGAGTTAGCAGATAATATTGCAGATAAAATTAGTTATGGATTTGGCACTATATCAGAGAAGATTCATGATTTATTCCTTGGAAGTAATAATAATATCCAAACAAAAGAGTAATCTGAGAAGAGTACTACTGAGACAACCTCATCTTCCTATCACCAAACTGATGAAGACTTGAAATTTGTAACCAAATTTCCTAAGTAAAACCTATACGAGGGTCTTGAGAATTAGAATATTAAAGACATGCACCTACCAATGCAGAATAGTCTTAGTATGCTCAGTCATTTGAATCCTGAGTTATAGCCTATCCTTATGGACTAGAAAGCTTTCAATAAAAGACATGAACATCCCTATTATGATATTGAGTTCAAGAATTTGGAGTAAAAGTACATTAATGAATTCGATACTTAGAAGTAATAATTGAAGGTAGAGTCTCTTGAAAAGAATGATAGGAGATTTCCGATTACATTCGATTAGAGAGAATTTGTTCATGATACTCTATTCGATAAAAACCAAAAATCATTTTCAAGATTGTTTAAAAATTCAATGGATTGGAAAAGAAGACCTACCAGAAAGCATGAATCAAAAGAGCTAGATAAATTAGTAACTTAAGACTTACTTGAAGGTAATAGAATTGGATAGAATTCTGAGTAGACTGCAACTAAGTCCAAAGATGCCAGTAAGATAACTAAAGATTTAAAAGGGCTTGATTAAAATTTGGTTGAATAATAGGAAAAAATAACCATTAAAGAAGATGAAATCAAATATGAGGTCAAGTTCAAGAAAATTCCTTTTAAAGGCAGAAAGTCAAAAAAAGGTTCTAAAAGGCATCCTTCTCATTGGTCCACAGACTAGTAAATATCGGCTTTAGATGAAGAACTTAAAGTCGAGGATTGGTAAGACAGAAGTTTTCCATAGTTGGGTATAAGCTTAAGGCAAGGCTTAGAATAAAGAAAAATAGAGTCAAAAGTATTATAATTTAATGAATTAAGGGAAGAAGTTAAATTAAATTAGGAGAAGCCTGAAGAGCCTGCTAAACCCTCTAATTTCGTCGGAATGTATTAATGATTATTGAATTTAATTATATCATAATTATTAAATTACAATATAAATTACTTAATTTCAGAATATATGATCTATAGGGGTTTTGGGGTTTTGGGG